CCACAAATGCAAGTCTTACCTACAGGGCAGTCTGAATTAGAATTCTTCTTCTGGTCATGTTAAACGTACTGCTTGGATTTTTTTTTTTTTTTTGTAGCATAAACAGAATAACATGTGTTATGATCATACCTTCCCCTGAACTCCATAGGATGTGTGGGCAGGGTGCATTCCATTGTCCACCTGCCTTTGGCACCCTATAGGAGCAGGGAGAGTAGGTGATGAGTGACAGTCTGGGGAAAAGCGGGGGGTCTCATTGTCCCAAGGAATGTCCATCTCCCATCTGGCATTGCAGAAGCCCACCCCAGAAAGCACGATATCATTGCATTGATTTGAGGAAGAGAGGGCATCTATCAGAAGAACCAGTTAGTGAATGGGCATTGATTTTGAAAGTCCTTGGAAGGGAGAGGACCACCTCTGGAGGACTGGCTGACACAGAGCCTGTGGAAGGGGTGGGGTGAACATTCTGAGGGCCAGAGGCAAGAGATCCATAAGTAGAAAGATGTCCGCTGCCATCGGTACCCTGAGGCCGTAGAGAGCAGAAAAGATACGTGGGACACAGGTGATTGAGACAGATGTATGGCTCAAGCCCAAGGCTTTGGCAGTGGCTCTTTGTAGCTCAGAGCTCCGACGTCCCAAAAGGAGACATCAGTACCACCCTAACAGCCCAATCTTACGTGATCCTGCTAATTATTATCAGTGAAACAAACGTGCCAGCCAGCAAGAGTGATCTGATGAGGAGACAGCCCTCCTAAACCGAGGATGCTCCAGAGGCAAGAGGCCTAGAGCTACTCAGACATCTGGTCACCCCTAATGCAACATGGGGAATGCATAGAAGGTGAGGGAATGTCTTCATGGGGAGAAACAGGAATCAGGGACCACACACGTCATGGTCCTGCCCCCAACCTGTCCCTGACACCAGAGAACTTAAAACATTGAAAAGAAGGTGCTCTAGGGCATAGTTTGTCTCCTTCCAGTTCTGTGGTCCTAAGATTCAACCCTTCATGCCTTGGTTTACCCACTGTGTTGGGCCATTTTGAGATAATACAGTAAAATCTAGTTTTGTAGATATCTGGGGTTCAGGATCCCTCCCCCCAAACTTTACTAGTTTAAGAAATATGTGTATGGTATGGTTTGTCTAGACAGCAGATGTCTTCCTGTCCCTTAATACTGTCATTTCTGTGAAATAGTTGCTGTCCTTTGGACAGCTGGGCTAAGACACATGACCAGACATTGAACTTCCAATTCTTGACCCGTAGAAGGTTTTCAATAAATAGTTGTTGGACAAACGCCTGAATGTGGTAGGAAAAGAACAGGTGTAGGTGTCAGACAGACCTGGATTCACCATGTTCTTTCTGGGTGATGTTTAGCAAACCTCTGAGCCTCTTGGGGGCCTCAGTTTTCTCTCCCTGGATGGCAGCGGGTGTGTGAAAGTGTGCACTGAAGACATCGAAGAACGTGGATGCACCGGGCATGAAGCCCCACCTTAGAAAGAAAACTACAGGCCCCAAATGGTGTCACTTAGGCTAACTCAGCAAACCAAGACTTAATACCCAAGCTAACTGCAGTTTGGATCCCTCGAGAACATGACCTTTCAGCAGACAACATGGAATTTTCTGGTCGATACCAGAAAATTTACTGAGAGACCACTTCTGCTCCCTCTAGAAGGCTGACATTGCCTGAATAATGCACTCTTAACTCTTGCTAACAAATTCCTCTATTCATTGTTTGCATGCCCTCTGTCTGCCTTCAAAAATCTTTCTTTTGGTTTGCTCAGTGGAGCTCCCCTCTACTTGCTGCCTGATTCATGAATTGTTGAATAAAGCCCATCGTATCTTCGCATTTGCTTGGTAGAATTCTGATTTTTAACAAGCTGCTCAACAAACATGAATTCTCTCTTCCTTCTACCCAGGAGTTGAGAATACGGAGTTTTTTGCTCCCTGCACCCATTCATTACCACGATTGTTAAAAGAGGAGTCCACAGTTCAATCTTCCATTGGCTTCTCAAACCATCTCAGCCGGACCCCTCCCTCGTCCTTCCCTGAGGCTGCTCTCCAACTCCCTAGGGACTCCTACCCTCCTCCTCATGGTCTTTGATGAGCAATAAAGGGTTGGTGTCAATCAAGATTGCTCTGGGTGGAAGTTCTTGCCAGGCTACTTTGTACCAAGTTGGGTGAGGATCACCTCCCACCAGACCCCAAATATCTAGGAGGAGCCTCGGTCTGTCACTAGGCTTCCAATGGATTCTCCAGAGTGGCTTTACCCAACCTGGGCTCCGGGATCATCTCAGACACGCAATGAAGAGGATTCCCAGGAAAGCTCAGGTGCCTCTCAAACAATCTCCGAAGTATTAACCAAGAACCTTGGTAAATTGACCCTAGACTCTAGTATCGTCCTCCCTTCCCCTCTGCCAGAGTATCCGTCTCAGCAGCCAGGCAGAGAGAGGAAACCACAGGGGCTGGTGGAGCGTATCCTCAGCAGCAGTGGGAGGAGGGCTGGAGTGAGGACCTTGTTAACAGCCCGGAAGGAAAGGATGGCAAGGATGATTCGAATGATTCAGTACCAGCGCTACCTAAACCCAGGGTCTCAGCTTCAAAAAGATCTACAGGAGAAGGAAACAGAGGAGGATGAAACAAGAGTGGAAAGATTCAGATGTCGCTGTCATTATTGCCTGTATCACAAAGATCTTGCTGAGGAAACCAGCATGGAGAATAATAATGACGTGGAGCCAATGTAAACAGACTTTTATTCTTGAACTATTTCTTTCTGCTAGTGATTTTAGGATCATTTTGCAGCAGCTTGGAAGGCTGCTCTATGTTAGGGCAAACTAATACTTTGATAATCTGTGATATTACAAGGGTTTTTTTAATATCTTTTTTTTTTTTTTTTTTTTTTTTTACCGTGATGCCAGTAATTTGTGAGGAATCCTGTAGTTTGCATTTGGATGACTTCAGTATACTTGCACCTTTTGATTTGACCTAAGGAAGCACTAATAGGTTTTGAATGTTGCCTGTGTGTTTGAGAGACCTGAAGTCATTAAGATAAGATATAATATCAAAAATTGGAAGCCAAGTAACTTGTGCAGAAGGAATACAAGAAAACTGGGTGGTTTGGTAAGCAAAATTAGGGTGGGTACATATGCTAGATTTTCTGGTTTTCTGACATTGTAATAAAATTTTTTTGTTGTGCTCTTTCAGTTTTTAGTAGGAAGTGTGTGTGTGTAGAGGATCTTAATAAAATTGAGTTATTTGAATTAAAAAAAAAAAAAGATTGCTCTGGGTGCAGACATCTCCACTCCGGTGACTTGAAGCCACTCTGACATATGCTGCCCAAAAGCCCTCCTTCCGGCCCTGACTCCTCACCTCTCGGAACTCTCCTCCTGGCTTCTGGAACACAAACCCCTGTGTGTTACAGCCACCCCCCTGCCCCTCCTCATCCTGCGCTGACTCCCTTCCCATCCCCCAACTCCCTAGGTTTCCCTCTTCTCCCCTCTCCTCACATCTAAGACTTCTAGGGGTCGGGGGTGGGGGGTGGGAAACATCTCCACCCATAGGCCTTGAACTCCACCATGATGCATCAGGACCCTGCATCCAGCTGAGATCTCTGTGCTGAGAGCAGGAATTGTTTCCCTGAGTATTCCCGGCTGGGATCCAATAGGCGCTCAAAACAAACCCATCTGAGATCAAACTCTTCCTGTTGCTTCCCCAAAGCTCTTGTGCTTCCTCGGTCCCTCTCTCGATTATTGGTTTCAGCATTCTCTCTCTCTCTGGGCCGGAGCTTGGAAACCTGATGCCTGTCCCAGTTAGAGGACATTTGTAAAAGCAGAAATCAGGCTTCATAACATTCTCCCGCTCAGACACCTTCCCTCCCTCCCTCCCTCCCATGGCATTGACTTTGGCCTCTGAGCTGGTGTTCAGGCTCTAGCCAGCGTCCTTTCTTTCCACATCACTGGGTCCCACACCCCAGATCTGGGGTGGCCGAGTGGGTTTCGTCTCGTACGTTGGCTCAGATCCTGGAGAGTTTGGCCTGAAGCCCTGTGTCCAGGGGACACTCAGGAAAGATGGGGCACCCTCCCCGGCCATGGGGGCAAGCACAGGGAACAGTGGCCATTTGCTGTTATCTCTGCTCTTCCTCGTAGCACCTTTAGGGGTGCTGGTGTCCCCTGAAAATCTCTGTGCTTTCCCGCCCCTTTGGTACTATCCATAGGCCTCTAAAGATCCCTTCCTCAGTATCCAAGCCCAGCTTGTTTACCCTTCAGGCTTGGACAGAAATGACATTGCTTCCTGAAACCTTCCCCAGCTTAACAATTGTTCCTTCCCAGGATCTGAAAGCATCTTGTCGGTGCCTGTCTGTCTGTCTGTACCACTGTTGGCGTCTAGCAGTCTCCCCAGCGAAATCACGAGTCTCTGGAAGGTGCTTCTGCTTGGTTGTGCGTCTCTCCCCCTGCCCGCCAGAGGGCGTCTCAGGGAGCAGGTGCCTAAAGGTGGTTTGGATAATCATTGAGCGGCTCAAGGCCATGGAGTCAGAAATCGCCCACCCCCACCTCCCGGGCCACCCTCCACAGCTCCCTCCCCTGCCCAATGGGGACTCAAGCACATTCTTGGGGACCCTCAGAAGCACACCTCAAGAGGGCTCTGTCAGAAGGCCTGAGTGGCTGTCACACCTCAGGCTAGAGACCCATCACACACCTACACACACCTACGTGGGATCCCCGTGTGCGTCCCCGCGGCCCCAGGGCAGGTGAGCTGGGGTAAATGTGTAACTCCACGGCTTGCCGGCTCATGCTGTTTGGCACGGAAAGTGTGTATCGATCACTCTGACTTCCTGGAAGGAGTCCCAGCCTGAGAGTCGCTCTGGCACCTGTCCCCTAGCCACCCGGCCGCCTGAGGCCCCCACCCCCTGGGGTCGGGCCAAGTGATGTCACCGCCCTCCTCCCCAGCTTGGGCACAGAACGGTCTGGGAACGGCTCCATCCCCTCTGATATAAATAGGGCCTCGGCCCAGCCAGGGGAAGAGGCTGCTCTTGTTTTGGGGACCCGAGGAGAAGGTAAGCGGGGAGCCCCTCCCTGTCAGGGCAGCTGAGTTCTGCCGGGAGGAGAAGCGAAGGGGTCTCTGGTGGGAGCAGCTGGGAGCCGGAAGGCAGGGGTCCGTGGTGACAGGCGCTGCGGGGGGATCACTACCGAAGACGACGCCGATATGTCCCCCCTCCTGTCACATCGGAAGTCCTCTCATGGACTGTCCTCCCCCTCAGCCACCCCAGGTCTTAGCAGAGGAACTGCCCCCCACTCCACAGCTGTAGGGCAGGGTGGCCGGGTCCCCTGCTGCCTCTGAGCAGGGCTGGGTCCTCAGGCACAGGCCGGGAGCAGAGCCACGGGGAGCCTTGAGTCAGAAGGAAGCGCAAAGCTTGTGCAGGGACAGGAGCTGTGAGGTGGATGGGGGAGCAGCCTCATATAGCTGGGAGCTGCGTCCCTGACCCCATCCCCGGAGGCTCAGGCGAAGAGTGGCCTGCACCACGTCTGTCTCCCTGCACCTCCCCCAGGCAGTGCTGCCTCTGGCCCTGGGTTCAAGGCTTGGGTGCCCTCAACTCATCACTTTGTATCCCCAAGCCTCGGTTTGCCCATCTATAAAATGGCCTCCCTTGCTCATGAGCTAGGGGGTATATTCAGAGAGCTAATATAATGTGAAAGTGCTTTCTAAACTTTAAGAGAAACTACAAAGACAGATTCTTACTGTTCAAGAGGCACTACGATGGGTGCTGAAGTGTGTGGACTGTGGCTTCAGGGGGTCTGGGTTTGAATCCTAGTTCTGTCTCTCACTTAGCTGTGTGACCTTGGGCAAGTCACGGAACCTCTCTGTTCCTCCGCAAAACAGTATCCATTAATCCACTTAACAACTGTTTATCAAGTACGTACTATGTCCCAGGAACATTTCTGGAAATGCAGTATATATATCAGCAAATAAAACAGAGCAAGGACCCCACTCTCTTGGGGTTTGCCTTCACGTGGGAAGAGACAGGTAATGAACACTAAACAAATAAATACATGAGAATTAATTATTTGTAAGCTCATAAGGGGGTCAGTGCTGTGGAGAGAGGAAGTAAAGTGGGATAAGTGAGTTCAGGGTGTCAGGCGTGGTGGGGACAGTTACAGCGGGAAATGGGATGTCACGGAAGACTTAGCAGGATGAGACAAGTCCATGGAAAGTGCTAGAACACTGCCTGGCAATGATAGGCGTTAGACCAGCGTTGGCTGCTGATCTCACCATTTCACGAAGCCACAGAACCACGAGGGGATATGGAGAGGAGACTGAGAAGGGGTGCCGGAGGAGGGCAGATCCACAGGAGCCTGGAGTCCCCGTTTATTCTGAGACCCCGCGGTGGGCTGCTAAGGACCGGTCAGTACGGCAGCCACAAGATCCCAGCTGAGAGCAACACACAGCAGCCCCCGCCCCGGACCGTGACCGTGAAATTGTTTCACTGTAGACAGTGCGTGTGCTGTGCGGGACTGGCAAAGCAGGGAGGGGGCTGTGCTTACCTGTGTGGCCCTAGCCCGGGACTGGGGGCCACTTCTGCCAGATTTCTCCAGCCCTCCGCTCCCACAGGTTTCCCCTGATAACTCAGAGTGTTTTGGCTTTTTACACGAGGCAAGAGCTGGCAACGGAGGCCCGTCTGGACAGGAAGGAGAACTTTCTGTTCCATTTTTGTATGTCGTGTGGCTTCTCATGAGAACCATGGATTGGGTCAAATGTGTGGGGAGGAGGGGGAAGTGGTGGCCGAGGTCAGCAGTCAAAGTTCCTTTGGTGTTTGATGACCAGAGCAGAACTAAACACACAATGCTCGTGAGTGGAAAGCGGGTGCAGTTTACCAGGCCCGGGAGAGGAGTGCGGAGCGCCAGCGTCAGGGGATAACTGGGTATGCCTGGGTGTGCAGGAAAGATGGAGGCATCAAGGTGACCTTGAGTTCACGCCTCAGTTCCAGGGATGACTGGGCTGCTCTGGGAGGGCAGGGGGATGGGTGAGGATGAGGACGGGAGCGCGAAGGATGAAGCTGGTAATCCGGTCCTCGGCTTCACCAGAAATCAGTGCGATTCCATGGAAATGACTGGGAGCAAATGAACCCGTGCCATGAACACAGGCCCTAGGTCCGCAGAGCCAGCCCAAGAACCTTGTCTGCCACGTTCTCGCTCACTGAGAGGTGAGGCAGGAGCAGAATCGCAGGGCGCTAGAGAGAGGTGCCAGAAATCCTCCTGCCAACGACGGAGACCCACGTCTAGGGCACAGGACGGTTCTACTTCAGACTCACCTGGGACGTTTTTTAAAAAAACTATCCCCGGCCCCAGCGCAGACCAACGCCACCGGCTGTCCGTGGGAGGCGTTGGTGGGGCTGGTGTCGGGCTCCATGGGGATCCACTGCGCTGGACATAGTCCTCCACGTGCAGGACACAGTCACCAACTGGCCTGGGGCGCTGGGACCGGTGCAAACACCAGGGCTTCAGGCTGAGCCTCTGGGGCTCACCGCCAGCTGCCTGTGGGGGCCACAGTGGAGCTGAGAAACCCCTTCTGAGGCCACACCCCAGGGTCGTTATAGCTGGCATCTCTGGGGGGGGGGACACGGACTCCCACGGTTTCTAGGGCTCCCCCGATGAGATCTGTGGGAACCGGGCTTGGGCCTGAAGGGTGAGAATAAACACAGGTGTGAATTGTGTCGGTCACACGCTTTGCTGTGTGAAAACTTTCCTTCCTCGCGTGAACAGCCAAGGCTGGACGGGGGAATCTGTAGGCAGGGGCTTCTGGGAACTGTCACGCACTACCCAGTTAGGACACGTCTATTCTTGCAGGACGCTCCTGGTCTGGGGAATGAGGGGTACATTTCCCGGCAGGGACCACACGGATCGTTCTCGCCAGGCCAACTTACAACATAGAAAAAAACCTCTGCGCATCTTAGTCTCGTATTCCAAACTGGTTTCCACCTACCCCGGGGCTAGGAGGCCTCCTGGAGACTCGAGGTCTGCCCCACGGCTGGTTTTCTAGGGACGCTCATAGCCAGAGGCAGCCATATCAAAGTCTCACAGACTGGGTCCCCTCGACGACAGAAATCTGTTCTCTCGTGATTCGGGCGGCGACAAGTACTGCTGACTCCTTTTGGGAGAACCTTCATATCTTCATACCGGTTCCAAGTCCAAGCGGAGATGTTGACAGATGCGTCTTCTGAGGTCCCTCCCCCTGGCTTGTAGATGGCTGTCTTCTCCCTATCTTTCCAGGGTCTTCCGTTTGTGTGTGTCTGTGTCCTAATCTCTTCTAAGAGGGACCCCGGTCAAATGCGATGAGGGCCCATCCCAATGACCCCGTTTAACCTAAATTACCTCTGTAGAGACTCTATCTCCCAATAGAGTACATTTTGAAGTAGTGGGATTTAGGACTTCAACATAGGAAGTTAAAAACTCTAAGGCACCAAGGTGAATTTTGTTTATTTTAAAATCAAACTTCCTTCAAAAATAAGTTTAACAAGATGGGATTGGGAGGGAGACAAACCATAAGAGATTCTTAATGTCACAAAACAAACTGAGGGTTGCCGGGGGCAGAGGGGTCGGGAGAGGGTGGCTGGGTTATGGACATTGGGGAGGGTATGTGCTATGGTGAGTTCTGGGAAGTGTGTAAGGCTGACGATTCACAGACCTGTACCCCTGGAGGTAATAATACATTGTATGTTAATACAAATAATAAAAAAATTAAAAAAAAATAAAATTCAGTAAAGGCAAAAAAAAGTTTAAATGTTTCCATATTACTCTTAAAAAAAAGATTTTATTTATTTATTTGAGAGATGGAGAGAGTGAGCACAAGCAGGTAGGGGATGTGTAGAGGGAGAGGGAGAAGCAGGCTCCCCGCTGAGCAGGGAGCCAGACACAGGACTTGATCCCAGGACCCCAGGATCATGACCTGGGCTGAAAGCAGATGCTTAACGACTGAGCCACCCAGGTGCCCACCCATTACTCTTTATTAAACATATAATTATTGACTAATCCATGATATCACTGATTTACCCAAGGTAAAAAATACTATCAGACAGTCGCATATTCTTTTTTTTTTTTAATTTTTATTTATTTATTTGACAGAGAGAGATCACAAGTAGGCAGAGAGGCAGGCAGAGAGAGAGGGAAGCAGGCTCCCCGCTGAGCAGAGAGTCCGATGCGGGGCTCGATCCCAGGACCCTGAGATCATGACCTGAGCCAAAGGCAGATGCTTAACCCACTGAGCCACCCAGGCGCCCGCAGTTGCATATTCTTGAAGAGAAGGACTTAACAACATTTTGTGAAAATATTTGTGTACATTTTTCCTTGATGTAACGGACATTTTGGTATTTCTGTTTAAAATCTACCCATGTCTTACTGTCGAGACATTCTCCCCATTATAAAAATCAGACAAAACAAAACCAACCCCAACATACTCCCCTGCAAGGCCCCCCCCCCCCCCGCAAAACGCACAGCTCAGTCCACGATAGCGCGTCATGGCTCCCAGAGATACTGTCCTCAGAGCCCGGAATCTATCGCTTCTCTTCAAGGTGTGTGTAGACCCGGATAGATTTCTCCTGGGTTCATGACCGCAGGGAATACGGGAACAGCTAGACGTCTGGCTGGAGGGCACTAACACACTTAGTAACCTGTCGCCCTGCACGAAATGCTGTTTCAGGGAAGCAAGCGCCCCTGCCGGAGATGGGTCCTGCTGGAGTGGGCCTAAGGGCCGCTGTCCTCTGCCTCGTGGCCTGGGCCGGCCTGGCCGCTGGGGACCGAGTGTACATCCACCCCTTCCACCTCCTAGTCTACAGCAAGAGCAGCTGTGAGCAGCTGGAGAGACCCGGCCCAGAGATGCCCGAGGAGCAGACCTTCACGCCCGTCCCGATTCAGGCCAAGACGTCCCCAGTGGACGAGGAGGCGCTCCGGGAGCAGCTGGCCCTGGCCGCCGGGAAGCTGGAGGAGGAGGACAGGATGCGGGCGGCTAAAGTGGGCACGATGCTCAACTTCCTGGGCTTCCACATGTACAGGGCGCTGGGCGAGTCCGGGAGCGCGGCCAGCGGGACTGTCCTGTCCCCCACGACTCTCTTCGGCACGCTGGCCTCTCTCTACCTGGGCGCGCTGGACCCCACGGCTGGCAGACTGCAGGCCTTCCTGGGCGTCCCCGGGGACGACCAGAGCTGCACCTCCCGGCTGGACGGCTACAAGGTGCTGTCCGCCCTGCAGACCATCCAGGGCCTTCTGGTCGCCAAGGGTGAGGCCGGCAGCCGGTCCGCACTGCTCCTCTCCACCGTGCTGGGCCTGTTCACAGCCCCTGGCCTGCGCCTGAAGCAGCCTTTTGTGCGGGGCCTGGCGCCCTTTGCCCCCGTCACCCTCCCGCGCTCTCTGGACTTGTCCACGGACCCGGATCTTGCTGCTGAGAAGATCGACAGGTTCATGCAGGCAGTGACAGGGTGGAAAATGGACAGACCCCTGTCAGGAGTCAGCCCAGACAGCACCCTGCTTTTCAACGCCTATGTCCACTTCCAAGGTAAGGCAAAGCCTGGAGGTGCCCTCGGGGTGGGTGCCCTAGGGGGACAGCTCTCTGTGTCTGCAGACTTAGTGTCCAGCATTTGGCTCAGCAGGGTCGAGCCTTGGGGATGGGCAGGGTGAGAACGTGGGGAAGTACCTGGGAGTCACTCTCAAGGGGCCGGTAGTAGCTGCCCAAGGGGCTCCGTGGATGAGCATCCAGCTAGCTACCTGCTGTCCTACTGTGTGCAGCGACTCTAGTACTCCCTCATATCCTGATCACTTAATCCCCTTGGGACGTGGTAAAGCAGTGTTACTGCCTCCGGGGAAAAACCCACAGTGACTGCCTTAAGAAGGCACGGCCACAGGTCGGGGTCCTGAGATCCAAACCCACACCTCCCGGCCCAGTGGCCCATCTGCACACTCAGGAAGGGGGGGGGCTTCTTGTCTCCTGAGAAGGTCAGTGTCCTTGCAAAAATACCCAGTTTGTTTGCTTACACCACTTTCATGCTGGGAGTGGTTAGTACTACTCCCCCCTCCCCAAATCCCCACAAAGATAGCTCTCATTCAGCAACTGATTGTTGAAGCCCTATGATGCGCATGCCCCTGAGCTGGGCGTCTCAGGGGGCCAGGGAGGAAGGACGCACAGGTCTGGAACCCAGGTTGCCTACTGACCTTCAAGAGGGGAGATCGATCCCACAGGCGAGTGCCCCCAGCTGCAGAGCTCTAGGGAAACGAGCCCTGAAAAGGCACTCTGGGGCACCAGGCCCTTGGAGGAGGGAGGGTCCCTGGGGAGAGGACAGAGGATGGCGAGGGGAGCAGGGCTGTGGAAGGACAAATGTGTGAGCAAAAAGGCTGGCAAGTTCAGGGCCAGAAACCAGAGCAAGGGCGGCTCTGTTTGGCCAGAGCTCAGGGGGGATGGGACCTGTGGGAAGCACAGCCCGAAAGAGGGGTCCAGCCAGATTTGGGGATGTGATGCTGGGAAGGGTGGTGAATGCTGGAGCAGGAAAACTGTTCTGGTCAGAGGGCATCCAGGCTGCCAGGGCTGTGTGCATGGGAGGCGGGGAGGGTCCCAGGAAGGTGATGCAATGGGCCCACTGTCCCGGGAGCACGTGCTGAGGCAGTGACCCTGCAGACTGACAGGTGGGGTGGGCAGGGCGTGTTTGCGAGCCAAGGGAGCCACAGCAGAGAGATGAAACCAGAGACATGGAGGTGTAATAGAGCATGACTATTGTCTTACTCTGAAAACATCCTGCAAGTCTGTAAACCCCCACGGGGGAGGACCTCCAGCCCATTCTGGGTGCAGGGGGAAGACGATGGACCCAGGAACCGAGGACAGCACAGGTGCCCTCCTACTGAGGGTGGCTGCCCGCCCCCCCCCCCCCCCCCCCCCCCCCCGTGGAGGACAGAGGGGGGATGCACGGCCTCAGCCTGCCGTTCCCAGGAGGAGCCCCAGGAGGACCGCTCATTGAGAAAGTCCTGCCCCCCAAAAGCTGGAGAGCCACGGGTGCCTCGACACTTGGCCAGCCCCACCATGCCCACTCTCTGATCTTGCCCCCTGACCTTTCTGGGCCTCAGTTTCCATCCAACAGTGATGCACAACCCCTCCCGGCCCAGCACCACACGGCTGCCTTACGAAGCCGAAGGCTGTCTCTCTGGGGAGCTCGAAGTGCCTCTTTGGTAATGATGTTCTGTGACCACGACCTCAGAGCCCAGATGGACGTTCCCAGCTCTCAAGGCCTCGGGGGTTGGGAGCCCCTGAGCTGTCGGGCGCCCTTTGCTCAGGCCCTGTGGTCATCCCCAGCTGCCGCGGGCTCTGGCAGGTTCCACAACACCAGTTGACTTAACCTTGAGAGATTTACTTAACCTCTGGGTGAGGATGGATTCTGTGCTTTTCAGCGGAGTGTCCAGGACAGGGAAGCCACCTCTGTTCAGACTCTCACGTCCTTCTGTTTGGGTGGGAAAAGGTTTAGTTCTTTCTTCCCCTAAATCTACAAGTCTCCGGCCAGGCCTGGTGGGCCAGCACTGAGGGCCCCCTTGGGGAGCCTGGTACAGTCACGGGGGACCCCCAGGGACAGGGCATCCAGCAAGCGTCTGCCTCTCTTTCCGGACAGCGGCCAGCTGGCCGCACCCCTTGGCCACCCCTCACGCAGCCCCCCTCCGGGGGGGGCCACACGGGGCTGCCCCCTCCCCGCAGGGCCCAGGGCGAGCTTACACCAAGCGCTTCTCTCCAAGCCACGGCTCGCACCAGGTCCTGTGTCTGTCCTGGGCAGCACGTGGAGCCTGCCTTGTGGGACGTGTGCTTAGCTCTGCGTCCTGACTGCAGAAGGGGAGCCTGTCGCAGCTGACACTGCTCCCAGATGGAGACGCGCGCGTGCCCCAAGGCTGCGAAGGGCTGCCAAGCCGCTCTGGGTGACGCTGGGATGGTGGGCGCAGGTCACTGCACGACTGTCCAGCCCCACAGAACGTACGGCCCTGAGAGCAAGCCCTCATGTCAGCCCTGGACTCTGGGTGACAGTGATGTGTCGGTGGAGGGTCATCAGGGTTAAAGGATGTCCCGCTCCGGTGGGGGTGCGGATAGCATGGGAGGCTGTGCTTGGGGTGGGGATGGGTGTACGGGGAAACTGTATACCTTCCCCTAATTATGCTATGAACCTAACTTCTCTAAAAAAAATGAAGTTTATTTAAAAAAAGAAGCCAGTGAGTGTGGCGGGCCGCAGGCTTTGGGCCAGGACAGATCTGGGGTGAGTTTACCTGGTCAGTTCATGGTGGCCTAAGGTCCCTGGTTTCCTTTGTGGACCTTAAAGTGACAGGTGTAAAATCTCAGAGTGCACCTGGTGTGTTAAATGTCTTCAACACGGGCAGTTAGCGTCACCGTCGTGATCTCAAACGGTTGGATCTTGTAGGAGGAAGACTCGACTGGACCTTGGGGTACAGGGTAGGGCCTGCAAAGCGCAGGGGTGGGAAGATACCCTGTGGTCCGGGGTATGCCGGAGGAGGCTAGGGGAGGTCGGATCACAGGCTGGGTCTTCGGCTCTCCCCGTGGTGTCCCCAGCCCTGAGCGCATCTGCCTGCCCCTGCCTCGGCTGACCCATCCCTCCTTGTCTCCTCTCTGGGTCTCCAGGACAGCTGAAGGGCTTCTCCCTGCTGGGGGGACTGCAGGAGTTCTGGGTGGACAATGCCACCTCGGTGTCGGTCCCCATGCTCTCGGGCACGGGCACCTTCCAGCACTGGAGCGACGTCCAGAACAACCTCTCCATGACCCGGGTGCCCCTCAGCAAGAGCGCCTGCCTGCTGCTGGTCCAGCCCCACGGCACCTCCGGCCTGCAGAAGGTGGAGGCCGTCACCTTCCAGCACAAATTCCTGACGTGGTTGAAGAACCTGTCTCCCCGGTATGGCTCCTGGGACACCGGCTGGCACCTCTGGGGCAGCTCCCCGTGGACAGTGGGGAGCTGGGCCCATCTGTCTACCCAGGGCGGGAGGGGACGTGGGATGAGCAGATGTGTGGGTGTTGGCTGAACCCTGGGCCCAGGATGGGGAGGGGCCGGGGGCTTCCGCTGTTCTGGAGTCTGTGCGTTCACGCGTCACCCCTCCTTCCGTCCACCTGTCCACCTAACTCTGCAGGTGTCGTCTCTTTCTGGGCACAGGAGAGGGAAGGAGTGGGAACGTGATTTCCTTGGGCTTGGGCTTACCCGCTGGTTTTGGAGGACTGCGTTTCAACCCACCCTGAAGGGGGGACCTTTAATGCCATGACCACCAACCACACCCCCCTCCCCTCCCCCGCCATCCTCCCACCCCCAATCTTCTGCATTCCCAGAGCTTGTTGGGGACTGGCTTCCCAGAAGTGTTCCCTCTGGGAGGCCTGGGGGAGAGGCTTCCCTGGGGAGCTGTCCTTGACTCCAGAACTCCCCGCTTTGCGGCCGAGTCCTTCGCTCCTCTTTCCAACTGGCGGGAAGAAAGCCATTCCCGTGCGCTGGCGCGCTACACTTGACCCTCGTCCGCGGCCCAGCGCAGTGGGGTCTGGAAACCTGCTCCAAGACCATCAGGGACACACTGGCCTCCCGAGGGCAACGCTCCTTTGGAAATCAGTTTTGGTTGTGCTGATGGTAAATGCCTAAGGTCAAGTGTACAACACGTACATCTCTAAGTGCACCGTTCAGTGGCGTGAAGCACCCCACACTGGTGTGCCCCCCCACCATCGGTCTCCAGAACTTTTTAGCTTCCCCGACGGAAACGCAGCCTGCCCACCCCACTCCACCCCACCCCCACCAAAACCCTGGCCACGGCCGCTCTGCTTCTGCTCTCTGCAAACTAGGACCTCAGAGGAGTGAACTCATACAGTGTGTGTCCTTTTGTGACAGGCTTGTTTCACTTAGCATGACGTCCTCAGGGCTCGCCCGCGTGGCAGCGTGGGTCGGGATTCCCTTCTCTTACAGCTGATGCTCCATTAGACGGACAGACATGTTTTGTTTATCCCACCGTCCGTCCATGCACTCTTGGGTCACTTCCACCATTTGGCTACTGTGGATAATGTATGGACGTGGGTGTCATGTAAATCCCGCGAAGGCTTTGGGGGTCACAGGAAACATCCCTGGGCTCTCAGGGAAGCTGACGGAAGGCAGAGGCCCTACAGGCAAGCCAGCTGAGTTGATGTCAGCAACATGACTGTGTGGAGAGTGACGGGACGTTCTTCCCATCGCTCTCTCCTCCACGGGGCTTTCTGTGTCAAGAATGACAGTGTAAGGTGGTCGTAAGACACGCTGCATTATTTCAGAAAACAGCATTTTACAATTATCCACGTAGTGCAGCTTTGATGAGGCCAGCTGAGAACCAGAGTAGAACGAAGGACAACTCATCGCCAACCCCCCGGGCGCTACTTGAAGCGCACATCCTTCTCCCAGTATTTCCAAGGACACGGGAGTTTTTTGTTGTATTTGTTGCTGACAAACTTTCCCTAGCTGGGCGGGGGGCCCCAGGGCCTCCCAGGGGGAGCCACCCGGGACTTCCTAAGCGTGTGTCACCCCCATAGGACCATCCGCCTGACCGTGCCCCAGCTGACACTGCGAGCCTCCTATGACCTGCGGGACCTGCTGGCCCAGGCCAAGCTGCCTACCCTGCTGGGGGCCGAGGCAAACCTGGGCAAAATCAGCAATGATGATCTCCGAGTCGGAAAGGTACCGTCTGTGCCGGTGATGTCCGGGCCCAAGTGATTCCGTGTGTTCACGGCGGGGGAGATGGAGACGGAAGGGACACGGAGAGAGCTTCTGCAGGGCAGGCAGAGGAGGAGGGGAGGACAGCATGGCTATGTGGCTGTGCATCCAGGGTGGGAGAGAAGGGACCAGAACTTTCCGGGGCTTTCCGGGGACAGGCGGAGAGCAGCAAACCCTTCCCCACCATGTGTTTTTGGCTCTGCCCAGCATGGCCTAGCCTCAGGGTCCTTCCCAGATCCCACAGCAGGGTCAGGACTCAGGCCATGGGATAAGGACCTGGTGCCAGTCCTGCCAGAGCTGCGTGCCCCAGGGAACACTCAGCAGGAGGCAGACTCTCCCTCTGCCTGAATGATGTCTCCCTGGAGCTGGGGGGCTTGGAAGTGCTGGCACCGGGCTGGGTACCGGGGAGAGGGGGCCTTCGCAGTTCTTCACTTCTAGGGAACATCAGTCCTCTTGCTAACTTCGTGGGATGAACCAAGCACTAGCAGACCACAGCCAAAGGGCCTGGGGTTCTGTCCTGGAAATCCAGGTGGAAAGTGGGAGACCAGTGGGTTGGAGGGATGCTCTGGGGAGAGCTGTTGCGTGAGTTGGGCCGAGTGGGAGCCATCTACACCGAGGGGCATGTATATGGCACGGGCGAGCTGGAGAAACAGCTGTCCTGCACCCTCTCCCTGGGCCCTGAGGGCCGTCGGGAGCTGTCACAACGCTTGCTGCTTTGCAGGTGCTGAATAGCATCCTTTTGGAACTAAAAGCAGACGAGGGAGAGCAGCCCACAGAGTCTGCCCCACAGCCGGATGGGCCCAAGGCCTTGGAGGTGACCTTAAACCGCCCGTTCCTGTTTGCCATTTACGAGCATGACTCCACTGCCCTGCACTTCCTGGGCCGTGTGACCAACCCGCTGAGCGCGGTGTGAGGCCCGGCCTGCCCGCAGACCTGGCAGTCACCGCGAGCAAGGGCAGCGGCCCGCAGCAGCGCTGATCTGTCGCCGTCTTCCACTCTGCCTTCCAGCGAGTCAGCTTCGAGCTGGGAGAAAGCCGTTCTCCTCCCGTCTAACGAGCAGCAGAACCTGCGGGCAGAAGGCCTCCCGGGTTCTTCGGCTTCTCCTGGGCCATGTGGGGGGTACCAGGAGCCGGAATTTAGTACAGGACAACTGTTCAGGAGAAAGTCTGAACAGACCAACAGGGTCGTGAAACCGAAATTGTTTCCTTTTTATCAGAGAACAGGAATTGGGTTTTACAGTCCCACGGTTTTCCCTGCCCTGAGTGTAGATCGGCTGGGGAAGCGTGAGCCGCCGAGCCGCCGTCCCCGCGATGCCTTAGCTTTTGTTGGTCCCGGTCTTCTTTCCCAGGATGCTGTGATCTTGGAAAACCCCAAGCACCTGAATTTATGTTAGAATGTAACACCACGGCTAATTATCCCTTGTGTTATTAATAAATGTCTTGCAACAATAAACAAAAGAAGAAAAATTCTTGGGCTGCCTGGGTGGCTCAGTGGGTTAAGCGTCTGCCTTCGGCTCAGATCATGATCCCAGGGTCCTGGGATCGAGCCCCACATTAGGCTCCCTGCTCAGCCCATCCTCCCACTCCTGTTCTCTCTCGCATCTACTCTCTTGTCAATAAATAAATAAAACAAACAAATCAAATAAATAAAATCTTAAAAAGAAAAATTCTTTCCTTCAGCAGCAAAACAAAACCCTGCCATCTAGCTGACAGACTGTACACACCAAGCCCTTTTAGGGCTTTGAGCCAGACTTTGGGCGTATTTCCACGGAAGGTGTGGGCCTTGACTTAGCCATCATGTGGAGAAGTTTGCTTCTGGACGCTTCCGTCCCTAAGCAGCAGGTGGGTGCGTGGGGGAGGAGGCCTCAGGCCCCTACATGCAGCCGGAAGGAACGGGGCCCACGGGCACTTCTTCCTTTCCGGGGACACAGGGTTGATCGCTGGTGCTGATGACAGTGAACCCGTTTCCTGATGTACATACAGTGCTCTCTCCGGCTACCTCCACCGACACTGAAATGACCAGGCAGGCTACGGACTACGGGGCCCACCGACGAGGGCCCAGGGGCATGCGGCGGCCGGGCAAGTGTCTGGGGGTGAGAGTGGGGGTGACCGTCTCAGAATTGAGCCAGGTGTCTCCTGTATGCGGATACAGTGGTGGGAGCAGAAGCACCCGTGTTCCGCTCACACGACGGCTTTGCTGCCCACAGTCCAGAGCGGACTGAGTGTCCTCCGAGCCTCAGCGTCCCCCTCATGTTTCAAGCGTCTGGCTAGTCTGGCACACACCTCCTTGCTCTGAGATCCGGGGAACAGCTGGGCCAGGCATGTGAGAGGCAGCATGGTGGGGGCTTAGGGGCATGGCTTCCAGAGATGGACGGGCTGAGCAGGAAGCCCACATCCAACGCTGACCGTGACCCAGAGCGGGTGACCCCCCCTGTCTGGGGCCCCCTGCCCTTCTGTACCAAATGGAAAATCCTTGAATGAATAAATGAGAAATAACCACCATCATGCCAGTGGCAAACGTTTTGGGGTGCAGGCAGCACCCATCCCTATTTCTACAGCTGCAGGCGAAGCTTTCTGCTGCGGATCAGTTCCTGGCCACTTCCCCTTGCCCCCCCCCCCCAGCTCCCCTTTCCTCAGATCAGCCTCTGCCTTCTGGCTGCACAAGGAGGCCCCAGACACGTCACACCGATCCAGATGGATGCTTGAAAGTTCTAAGGCATGAGTCCTTCCAAAATGTGAAAGAGCCTAAGCAAGGGGTGCCCATTCCCCCCAAACCCCCAAACCTCACACGACGTCAGCCTGAGTGATATGGGCCCCCGGGGGGATGACTGTGACACAGCACCAGCGCTTTGCACGGTCACTTCGAAGATGCAGCGGTCCAGATGCCCCGAGCCCTCCCCGCGGCATGTTAATGAACTGTGGGTGCTGCCCGGGGCCCCCCTGTCCGCAGCTGGCAGAGACTCGATTCCCGCAGCAGCCCCGACCCCGCTGGGCCAGCCCTGGCTTATTTTCCACCACGCTCTGTGCTCCCTGGGTCCCTCTTCCCTCTGCCCAGCGTGGGGCAGAAGCTGCCCCCCAAGTCCTCTCTGGCTTGGGCTTTCTGGAAAGGTTAGGAGACGCCAAGGCTCTGGGGAAAGCCGGACGTTCAGGAGACAGACGTGCCTGAGACTCTCACGACTCAGCCCAGCCCGTGGTGCGTGTTGGGGACGCAGAGCCTCGGGTCCCACCCAGGCCCCGGAGTCCGCGTCTGCATCTTCCTGGTGGCCCGCGAATGCACACTGGACTTCAGGTTAGGGACAGCACAGAATCCCCCTCCCAGCACAAGCTTCAAGAAGGGCCGGGGCCACAGCCAGCAGCACCGGCTCCCGGATTCCCGCTCTCAGGGGGGAGGACGCATCTTCAGTCGGAACTAACCCTGACGGCTTCTCCCGTGGTTCCTGAAGCGACTGTGGACAGACAGCGGTCTAGACGGGTGCGTGGGCTACAGGTGCATCTCGTCCCTGCAACGACACACCGGTGCCGGCAGGGAGCCCGAGCCACCGTCGCTTCCATCAATCTGTCTCGTGAACCGTGGTCTCGAGGCCGCTCTCGGAGACTCAAGTGGTCACACTGCAGTCAGAGGAAGGGGACGTCGGTGTTCTTCCCCGTATTTTAGAAAGCAGCTGGCAGCGGATGAGCGCGTTTCTCCCGCTGCTGGGGCTGCTGGGGCTGGGGGCGGTTGCTAGGAGTACGGTGTTGCCAACCCACCCACAGCTGCTTTTGTCCTCCAGCTCTTTTATAAATGGGCAGTGGGTCACCACACGTTCCCAGGATGCAAAATACCAACATTCTGCAGATTGCTTCACACGCAGGTATCACTTCTGGGGGTCTGTTTCTCTTACACCATTCTTCACTCAGTTCTAAGTCTTCCTGGGGGTGCCAAGCGCCCCTCCCGTAGACACGGGCATGATTCCGCAGCTCCGATCCCCTCCAGCCTGGGCACGGGTGGGGCCGGCAGGGACGGTGGCCCAGGTTGCTTCCCTGCCCACCGAGGAAGCGCCTCAGAGCCCAAATCTTTATGACTTTTGTTTGTTATTCATTTGGCAGCAAACCCCAACCTGAACAGACACGAGGCTGCTTAAGATCCTTGCGTGATAGAAGTTTATGGAAGTGTGACGGGCCCTCAATTTGCTGCAGGAAGATCCGTGTTGGATGAGCAGATGCGTTCCATGTGGCCCCATGGTACCCGAGATGGAAATCACGTTACCTTTCCAAACCGAAAAATCCGGATCTCTGAAACGTGTACTGAAGGCTTTGGGCTTTAGATAGATGGTGGATTTGAAGATCATCCCATGTGATCTTTTTTTTCCAATAGGATTTATGTTTTAGAGCAGTTTTAGGCTCACAGCAAAACTGAAGAGAAACTACAGAGTTCTCTATACTAATAGGTGAGATTTTGGGTGTCCTAAAAAACCCTCTGTGCTCTACCTATTCAGACCCCATACCTCCTGGCACCACTGACCCTTTAACTGCCTCCCTAGGGAGACATTCTCTTCCAGAAGGTCGTGTAGCTAGAATTCTACAGTGTGCAGTCTTTCCAGATCGCCTTCTCTTAGCAATATGCGTTTAAGATGCCTCCATATCTTTTCATGGCTTGATGGCTCGTTTCTTTTTAGCACCAATGACATTCCACTGCCTGGATGGGCCAGCCTTTGATTTATCCATCCCCATACTGAAGGACAACTTGGTTGTTTCCAGTATTTTTTGGAAATTATGAATAAAAGCTGATATAAACATCCGTGTGCAGGTTTTTGTGTGGTCACCATTTTGCTGTGATCTTTTCTTTTTAAAGATTTTATTTATTTATTTGACAGAGAGAGATCACAAGTAGGCAGAGAGAGAGAGGGAGAAGCAGGCTCCCTGCTGAGCAGAGGGCCAGATGCAGAGCTCGATCCCAGGACCCTGAGATCATGACCTGAGCCGAAGGCAGAGGCCTCCGAGGTGCCCAGGCGCCCATGATTTTTTTTTTTTTTTCAAGATTTTACTTATTGGGGCGCCTGGGTGGCTCAGTTGGTTGAGTCATGATCCTGGAGTCCCAAGATCGAGTCCGGCATCAGGCTCCCAGCTCCATGGGGAGTCTGCTTCTCCCTCTGACCTTCTCCCTTCTCATGCTCTCTCTCAAATAAATAAATTTTAAAAAGAACTTTAAAAAAATATATATATTTTATTTATTTATTTGAGAGAGACCAAGAGAGCACCAGCAGTGGGGAGGGGTGGAGAGGGACAAACAGACCCTGCACAAATCAGGGAGTCTGATGCGGATCTCGATTACAGGACCCTGAGGTCATGACCTGAGCCGAAGGCAGACACTTCACCAATGAGCCACCCAGGCGCCCCCGTCATGTGATTTCTTAAAGCTGCAGACTGAGTAGACGTTCAGGGTGCCTCAGGGAGACCCTCAAACACCGTGTGTTTTGAATGTCAGTGACTCCATCACTTCAAGGGAGTGGGGGTCCCGTAGCCCACCTCCCTGCCTGCAAGTTACTGCACACTTCTGTTGAGTTACCCGGAAAGTTATCCTCTGAGGCCTGTTTGTAAGCTCCGTTAAGCGGGTAGAGACCAGCCTGCGGTTTAGGCTAATTTGGTGCCACCCCTGAAGCCATATGCCTCTAAGGACCCTCCTCATGGCCCCTGTGAGAAACCTTCCATTCCGGGAACACACACTGTTCCCAGGCCCCCCGAGCTCAAGGATTGTTCTACCTGCTCCCTTCCTCGCCTTCGTGGCTTCCTGCCCACACCTGTCCACACGGCTAGTCAGCACCCAGCTATACGAGAGCCGCCCTCCTTCCTCTCCACACTCTACCCCCAAGTTCTGGCCTCCCAAGCACCCCCAACTCCAAACTCTCTCAAACCAGAGTCGCCAGGCTCTGGGTCC